AGATGGGGTCTTGCTATGTTGCCCAGGTTGGTCTCAAACTCCTAGGCTCAAGTGATCCTCATACCTCAGCCTCCTGAGTAGCCAGGATAGTAGGCATGTACCACTGCACCTGGCTACGTGTCTGCTCTGCCTCCTTTCAATATAGCCCTATATGATTCTCTCTCAACTGCCTCCCATCCTGCCCTATTTTTAATAAAATGAATACACATTTTTCTACAATAAAACACCATAGACAAGTGGAATTTATTCCAGAGAACTACGACTCTCTCAATTGCCTCCCATCCAGCCCTATCTTCAATAAAACAAATATACATTTTTCCATAATGAAACACCATTAACAAGTGGAGTTTATTCCAGGAATGCATGGATATTTCAAAATTAGAAAACCCAATAATACATAACTTTACCCAATAATATAAAATTTTTTATATAAAACATATAAAAAATTTAAATACATAATTGTACTTTGAAATGGCCTTCTGAATATTATGTTATACTGTAACATTATTAGGATAGCTTTCCCTCTGTTTTATTTATTTATTTGAGACAGGATCTCACTCTGTTACCCTGGCTGGAGTGTAGTGGTGCAATCATGGCTCACTGTGGCTTCAACCTCCTGGGCTCAAGTGATCCTCCGGCCAGCCTCCCAAACTGTTGGAATTACAGGCCGTGAGCCACCATGCCTGGCTCCCTCTATGTTTTATAAATAGACCCCCTAAGGACCTACATTTAGATTTGCTTTTCAGAGGATTTCTGAAAATAAAAGTTTCCAGATATTTAAACATAGTTTTCTTACATAAAAATTATGTGTAATGTTGGTTTTCCAGATCTAATTTTTCTTTCATTGATAGAATAAAAATTAGCATATTACCTAACTAAATTACAGATTTTTCTCTAATAAACTCAAATGTCACTGCCTAACTTGGAAATTGTCAAGACTGACAAATATTAACTTCAATTACTTTAAGTCCCAAGAACAATTGAAATCAAAGTGGTAAGGACCTATTCTATATTTTGTTGAAAACAACAGAGTCCCAAATGACTACATTTGATCCAACAAATATTTCCTCATTACCCAGCAAGTTAAGTACTAGATAAAACACAAAATAAGTAAGACACAAATCCGTGCTTTCAAGAAGCTGACAAACTTCTTAAAGAAACTCCCTTCTTTTTTTTTTTTTCCTGAGACGGAGTCTTGCTCTGTCGCCAGGCTGGAGTCAGTGGTGCGATCTCGGCTCACTGCAACCTCCGCCTCCCGGGTTCAAGCGATTCTCCTGCCTCAGCCTCCTAAGTAGCTGGGACTACAGGCACGCACCACCATGCCCAGCTAATTTTTGTATTTTTAGTAGAGACGGGGTTTCACCATGTTGGTCAGGATTGTCTCGATCTCTTGACCTTGTGATCCGCCCGCCTTGGCCTCCCAAAGTGCTGGGATTACAGGCTTGAGCCACCGCGCCCGACCAAAACTCCCTTCTAATGTGTGTTAGAAGCGTACACAGTGATTTTTACCTGTGAGACAGCAGAAGCCAAATGAGCAGGAGAGCTCACTTAATACATTTTTTTTTTTAACAAAGCAATAGCAGGTTTCAAGACATGAGGTCTCAGATTCTACAGTTAAAGGATGGAAAGTGGAGAAAAACCATCAGCAGGGAGATGGAGAACTGGAGCAATGAAGCAGGGCCAATATAAGAGTCAAGGTCTTAAGCACCTTGTGCTAACACTGAACTACTACAGAAGGTTGTTCAGCTAGAGAAAATGGGGTATTTTGATTTGAGAATTTGTTAATTAAAATAATCTTAATTTAAAAATGTTTATTTTACCACATTTAATCAATATAACTAATAGCTTTAAGCAGTCTTATTTTTCAACTCTCAAACCTTTGCTTACTAAATAATAGGTATTTTCTGATTTGAGTAAATTTGTAAACAGTTTAGAAAGCAATGCAAAGAACCTGGTAAACAAATTGAGGGTGAGTCAATTAAAGTACAGCCTTGAAAAAGCTTCTTTGATCCAAATCTCCATCCATAAACATGAAGAATATTCCCCTACATTGTGACTATCCTAGGAATAATAATTAGAAATAATTACAGTGCTAACTTAGCTAAAGATTTCTTTTTCTATTTAATGAATCAAAGGCAAATGATTGCTTTGTCACCTTCCATAATATAACTTGTTTGTAAAGTCTAATTCTGAGAAGCTCAAAGCCTACTTCAAACAAAATACAAGAACTCGATCTTAGCAACTAAAACCATTTAGTTCTTATTTTAAAAACTTCCATAACCAACTTTTCCAATTACTGGTTTCTACCTTTATTTTTCCAATTTTAAAGTTCTTAGAGACAGGGTCTCATCATGTTGCCCAGGCTGGATTCAAATTCCTCAAGTGATCCTTCCATCTTAGCCTCCCAAATAGCTGGTACTACAGGTATGAGCCACTGCACCCAGGGGTTTTTATTTCAATGTGCATGTGACCAGCTGACTTACTGCTTTCACAGTCTCACATCACTGTATTCATCAATCAGTATTATTATATAGAGAGGATAAAAGGCATAGGCCTATATATTTATTGAGATGTTACAATAATTTCAAAGCAGTGTCACCTTGGAGAAGTCATATGGCAAGCTGAGTGATTTTCAAAAGCCCCAGCCCCTAACACTTTACCTTAACCTCCTTGGAGCTACTGGAAGTCTTCCCTTCAGTCTTCTTCTGCTTGGATGCAGAAGAACTGTTTTTGCTGCTGCCACTTGTCTCCTTGTTGCTGTTACTGCTTGACTTTAAGGAAGAAGACTGACTAATAGTCCTCTTCCTAGAGCCATGCTCTGTTTTTGGATCTTTTGAAGGAACAGGCCCAGCGGGAGAAGGCAACAAATCCTTTTCTTTTGCAGCACTCTGCTTAGATGACCTGCCAAATAAAACAAATGCCCTCATTTCTCCACACAGTGACACAGAGGTGACGGGTTTTTCCAGTTCTCTTTGCTTTCAAGACAAATCTGTTTTTCCCCATTTCATTACTAGGACACATGATTTCTGTAAAACAAAATAAAACTGTAAATTCCATGAGGGTAGGTATCTTGTCTGTTTTTATTCCCGTGGTTGTATATGCAGTGCCAAAAATATGACCTACCACTCAGTAAGGACTCAATAAATATTGGTTGAATGAATGAACAAATTGATGAATGGTGAATGAAGAGATTACTACTCATAAGTTGGCAACTAGTCTCTTGGAAATTATAAGTAAGTTTGCCATCTAACCAGAAAGTGGCATAGCTTTATTTTAATTCTCCCCCCATACTCACCCCTACCCCCAATAAAAAATAAAGGAAGAACTAATTAAATTTTAAATGTTGCCCATCCCTATTAGCTAAAAGCAAAAGCTCCCACTATTTGCCATATGTTATGTGTGTGCATTTATATGACACCCATTTACTAAAAGGAACACTCAGAGCATGTTAGAAAGTACCCAGCATCAAGTGATACACATATATTAACAACACTAGCATGCAACATGTTTTGGGGACGTACTCTCTGTTGCTGGATGGCTTATGGCCTGCTGAATTCTTGTCCTCCGTTTTGGGTTTCTTGCTCTCACTGGCTCGGCTATCGTCTTCATTCTAGATGAAAAATAGAAACTGTGGCTACTAGGTCTGATTTTTATTCAACTAACTTCAGCTTCCAGCACTAGCTACCCATAAAGAGTTTATCCCTGATAAGACATCAGAAAGAAAATAAAAGAGAAGCACAATAATTCATCTAAATAATATTGAAAGAGATTAAGTTTTAAGGCTGAGGTCTCCTATTTTAGATAGACTAAAACAGATTTCCTCCAGTGTCTAAGATGGCATCTTTTCGGTGTAATGATTTGGGGGTGGCATCTGTGAAACTATAATTAAGATATAATTTATATAACGTAAAATTCACTCTTTAGAAGTGCACAATTCCATAACATTTGGTATATTCACAGAGTTGAACAACCATCACCACAATGAATTTTAAAATATTTTTCTTATCCTGAAAAGATACTCTATACCCATTAGCAGTCTCTGCCCATCTCCTCCTCCCCAAGATACTGGCAATCCACATTTCATCTTTATGGATTTGCCTATTCTAGACACTTCAGGAAAATGGTATCATTCAATATATGTGACCTTTTGTGACTGGCTCTCCTTTCATTTAGTGTAACATTTTTAAAGTTCATCCACGTTGCAGCATGGATCAGTACTGCATTCTCATTTATGGCTAAACAGTATTACACTGCATAGAATTTATTCATTTCGTTTAGTCATTCATCAAGTGATGGCCATCTGGCTTGTCTCCACTTTTTGGCTAATATGAATAATGCCACTATGAATATTCAAGTATAAGTTTTTGTGTGGGCATATGTTTTCATTTCTCTTGGATGTATACCTAGGAGTACAACTGCAGGTCAAAA